TATAACTTTATAATATTAAAATTGCATTTAACTTCATTACATAAATTCTTCTTCTTCTTCTTCGGTTTTCAAAGGCCATTGAGGCCCATTACCGCAACACAAACTTGCTTCCATCTATCTCTGTCCTGCGCTATTGTTTCTCCATCTCGTATTCCAATCTCTGCTAAATTCTACTCCACTTTGTCAATCCACCTTTGTTTCGGCCTGTCAAGTGGTCTTTTTCCCTGGGGTTTCCATTTTAAAACCGCTTTCAGAAGACCATTTGACCTCCATACATGACTGGCCCATGCCATTCTCCTATTTTTTAATACTGCTACTATGTCTGGCTCTTTATATAATTGTTGTATTTCTATATTATTTCTTTTCTCGTATTGAAATAATATAGAAATACAATACATAAATTATTAAAGATTTTATATAATAATAATTATTATTATTATAATAAAATATATAAAAAAAAATACCTTAAAAATAATACTTAAATAATCATTTTTGAGATAAATCTAAATGAATATTACAAAAAAGTTACCTATTGTAAGGTTCAAATTATTATCATTATATAATTATCACAATGTGAAGACTGTTTTATCAGTTAGTTAGTTCCGAACACGGTCGGAAGGAACATTTCTCTAATAAATTAATAATACTCACTTTGTGTTTTATTTAATTATTTACACTATATATAATTTTATTGTTTTTATATTATGAATTACTTTGATCTATAAAATTATATAGATAGCCCTAAGGAAATTCCGAGAGGAGGGAGCAAACCCTTCAAATTTTCGCTGTTATTAGAATCAGAAAAATCGTAATATTAACATTATTCCAAAATAAAATAGATAGGATTAAAATTTATTTCAATTTCGTTACAATTAAAAACTACAAGCATTTGTTGTATAGGTACATTTTTTTTTTATGGTAGGTAGGTACCGATTGTAAAACCTAAAACATAGTCATAATATTTTTTGGGACTATTGTTTCTGTTTTTTGCATAGCTTTACGCAACTGCCCGAACTGCACTACCTATTGCGATAATATGCCAATATTATACTTACTATATTATTGTTTTAATATTACATAATAGGAATGGTTAAATAGCTGGCAACTATATAAAGCAAATTATACTAATACTATATATATATATGATTAGTAAATGACAGAAAAATATCAGTATAATATCGGGTCATCCGTTTTTATCTGTTATATTATATTGAATATTCCAATACATTTAAAAACAGTATTCAATTTTATTTAAACTATAGTATTCACTACACACAAGTAGATACAGATACTCAAATGATTTGTAAACCATGACGCTTCTTGCGATGTCAATTTCGTGTGTGCACCAGATACGAGAAAGTATTATTCTCTATGGTTATAGTGCGTCTTATGGATAGTAGATAATAGATAGTCTTACTCATAGATAGTATAAAAATTGATAGACCATTCCTGTATTAACAAAATTAGTTGTAGTGACCTGGAACTTAAGGTGTTTTATACACAGACTTATATTGAAATCTGTGATATAATATAATAAAATATAATTGATAAGACCTCTCGAAATCGAGACTATATAATAAAGGCTAATCGCACCATTCTTTATTATCTATGGTTCCATTATTGTTATTTAATCATGAATCCATGTTTTTTTAGTTGTGAGGGGTCCGGTCCGGTTTCCTTACAGATTTACAGACAGAGATGTGTTGAATATTATTAGAATTAAAATTTTTTAATAGGGATTTTCATAAATCTGTTTGTAAAAATAAAATGTTTGTATGTAGGATCACCTTTGCCCAACTTAGGAATTTTGGGGGAGGCGTGTTTAATTTTTTGATGGGACCCCAAAGTTAGGTCTTAGAAAAATCAAGTTCAGAAACTAAACGATCAATAATAACGTAAAATGTATCAACCTCCAACTTTCTTATCATGCAAAAGTTTGAAATTCCTTTTATTGTTCTATTCAAGCATTTTTTTTCCAATAATTTTTTCCCCACCAGGTAAAATATTAGTTGATAGTTCCTTTACTTTGTTTTAAAAATATATAAAATTTCTCTTTTAATGAAATAACGTAAGTTTTTGATACTTTTAATAAATTTACAGCTGTAAATAAATCTATTCCYGGTTGTTGAAGGTATTTATACTAGCACTGTTAACTGATTAACGTCTAACACAGTTAACTCACTAACTGTGAGTTAAACTATTGCAAACTACTTATTAAAATACTACTTAATTAAAATCCTATTATACGCATAAAATCATTGATATCACTAATAGCATAACAATTATAGCAAATAACATTTTGCTTTTCCAAAAATACATTTCCAACACTTTTAAAAATAGATATTGATGAATTCACTGTTATTAAGATAGTATGAGCGCAATTTATCCATTTTAGAAACCGAATTATGCAGTAGATGATTATTAATTTACTATTCTATTTATTCTTGCTCAATGTTGGCGCAATTTACAATCGATCRCCTCGGCAAGCAATAGGAAAAGAATAGAGCATTKAGAAAATAGACAAAATGGTCTCCGGTCGTCGTCCATTATGGCCGGTACTATAAATAAAAGTTATAGATTATTTTAAAATGTAATTGTTGGTAGAGATGGCTTTTAAATGGGGTTTTGGATATTTCAAATATGCACTAATACTAATTGAATTAAAAATTCATCTTAAATTAACTTAAAAATGTTGATATTAGCATTTTATTGTGCACCTTACAAATTTTTTTTAAATTTTAAATATAATAACATTGTAATTTTCAAATATTAATTATATTTAATTAAGACGTTTAAAAAATTAGTTTTGTATAATATTTTTTCTAAATTGACAAAGCATGGCTAAAAACAATATTTTTAAATTAAWTATTTTCCACGTTACGTACCTATGTATATTTTATTTTTATAAATAAATGATAATATAATATATAACAGTAATGTTTAAAAAATTTATCAACTAAAATAACTTAAAACTAAACTTTTAATTATTTTTTTTTTTTTATGAACCTTGAAATGAATTCAACACAATATCAAAAATGTTATACGGTGCCATCGTGCGATAAAAATACTTTAAATGAGACATCTCCAGAGCCGGTAAAATTTTGAACATTAGAAAGTCGTTACCTTATATTAATAACATTTATATAGAAATTTTATCAAGTAAAGAAAATAATTAAAAAAGCATTAATGTAAATTTCAATCATCTACAGTTATTCGTTTTTGAATTACAACTAAATAAAAAAATCGAGTGAAAATCCAATGTTGTAAACTTTTTAACTGTACCTAAACAAATTTAATTTTGGTAAAGACAGAGAAACTTATGAGGAATTTTCTATTAAATTCTTAAATCTTAAATAGAAAAAGAAAATTTTTTATGAGTTTTTAACTCAAAATAAATCGTAAATTTTATTTTTTTTAAAACACATATTGTAAAATTAAAAAATTTATATTCGTCACAGAAACTAAAAATCAACAATCAAAATAGTTAACCTAACCAAAATTTTAATCATTTTTTTTAAATTTATCTTGAAAAGAATTCACCACAACATAAGAAATGTTATACGGAGCCGACGACAGGAGATCAAAATATTGCATTTAAGACATGTCAAGAGCCGGTAAAATTATTAATATATTATATAATATAGTAATTTATAAGTATCAATAACTTTTAATTAGGATATAATTACTATAATATTATAACATATAAATTGTCATATATTTTATGAAGAATTTCTAAAAACAATAAAAAAAAATATTTTCTACGTTTCGTAGGTAAATAAATAACATTATACAATAGTAATATTTAAAAAAAGCAGTAAAGTGAATGCCACTCAGCTRTACAGTAGGTTACTGATTTACTGTAATGGATAGTATTAAATTTGAATTCAATGATATAATAATGTATAGGTACGAAAAACGATTCTGAGCGGAGACGGTTTGTCAGTCTAGGACATTTTTTACTATAAGACAAACTTATGATCTTGTATCTTGTATTGAATTTTCATCTCTTAAATTTAAAAAGATGAATTTTTATGAATTTCTTAATCAAAATAATTTGCATATTTTCGTGATTTTTACGTAATACCTATTATGTTAAAATTCGATCTATCAACGCTTATAAAAATTGTGACTTGTATTTTTAATATTTTTTAACTAATCTTTTAAAAATATATTAGAAGTATTGTATTACATTTTGAAGCTTTTTTTACCAAAAAATTATATTTTATTGATATGTATAGAAAAAAACCAAAATTTAAAATGTCTATGAATACAGTAAAACCTCTCTATAATGAACCCTCTATTAAACGGAATCCTCCTTATAACGGAAAATGTCAATAGTCCCGATGCAAATAATATATGTAACTTCTACCTCTCTATGACGGAAAACTCTTTATAACTATATATATAACTATAGTACTATATGTTTGGTCACATGCGATTCCGTTATAGAGAGGTTTTAATGTATTTTAAATATTTAGGAAATTTTATCAAGAATAGATAATGCTAATATAAACTTTTAGGTAGTGAAATGTTCATGTACTAACAGTAATTTGTTTTTGAGTTACACAAATATCTAATATTAGTTTTCTTAAAAAATTAAAAAAAAAATGTTTTTGTTTTTCTTGCCGCTTTTGAAAACTACTGTGAATTCTAAACTTTGACCAATGCAATGCGTCAACTAAAATCACTTTTTAATCATAAAAGCTACTTAAGTTGAAAATCAATGCCGTATTTCGACAACTTATCATGTACCTACACAGACACAAAAAAAAAAAAAATAATAAACATACATTGTAAAATCAATACATTCATTAATGGCTAGGCTTAGAATCTAAAATGCATCATACAAATAATTTAAAACCACTCAATTTTTTACATCAATCTTTTAATAAATTCATCACGATATTAGAAATCTTATCCGGAGCCGGAGACATCATTTAAGACATGTCAAGAGCCGGTAAAAGATCACTGCAAAAAAGAAGATTGTGGTTATCCAAAGCCTACAACTGAAACCGGACAATATCACAAATGTTGTGCTTTATCACCTGTTGCACCGACCCCTTTGGTCCGAATCGATTGTTGTGAAAAAGCTAGACCTTGCAGGAGCAATTTTTGTTCTCCAGTAAATGATGATTGTGATGACTTTGAATTGACACCATACGGAAAAGAATTCGTTCTAAGAACTGGAAGAATAGTAAGTGGACATATTTATAATATTAGCTTTCTTATAAAATTTAGGAACCTACAAATAAGTTTAAAAAAAAAACATAAATTAATGTAACATGTTTGTTAAATACTTTAAGCCAGACAGTAAAGCTTTTATTTGAGATTCTTTGTCGACTATTTAAGTGAATATAGTTATATTATAATAATAATATACTTATAGCTSTCTATACACAATAGCCGAAAATAAAGGTCCGCCAATGGACGTAGCAGTTTAGACATGGCTGCTTAGAAAAAAAATATAATAAATCAATCAATATAAATTTAAGTTCTGAAAATTAATAATTAAAAAATAGTTATTCATATTATTTATATTTATTATAATTTGTAAAAATTAATTTAAAATATCTAAAAACGTTATTTATTATTATACACCAAAACACAATATCAAAAACAGTTAGTTTTCAAATTACTTATATTTACTATTACGCAATTGTAATCAAAGTTTAGTAATACATATTCTTCTTCTTCTAGGGCTTATAGTTATATCAATCATCCATTTACAACCATCGTCGCTACTCGCATATAACGCACTCTTTCGTCTTTCCCTATAAAATTCTACTTCCCTAGCCATCAATCAGGATTTTCTTAACTGTATTGTACCATCTCTGCTGAGGTCTACCTTTTGGTCTTTTTACCGTTGGATTGTTTTCCGTGACATTTTTAATGAGTGATCCCTTATCTCGCCAAACGTGTTCTACCGTCCTGCCCATTCCAGTATTTTCCTATCTGAAAAATGTTGTAGACTCAGGTTATTGAACAGTTGTAATAGGTAATTTGATACGGTAACTCTCCGAATCATTACTATATACCGGTCCATTTATTTTCTTGAGCATTTTTCTTTCGAAACTATGCTTAACTACATCTTGCATGCGTGTGTTATGATAGGTCTCAAGTATGTATAGTAGAGGCATTGTAATACATATTAATGAAGTGAAATACTTTATGTGATTTTCACGTACAAAATATGATAAAACTCAGTAATGCATGATTTGCTAATATTCAATTAAAAACTATAGTCTTTAAGCTGGTGCGATACGATACAATACAATACCACTATATAGTTGTATCACGACTAAATAAATAATTATGATCACAACTTTGTAAATTGTGATATGAATACAACCTTTGTCTCAGCTATCGCGAGATTCTCCGCTGCTATTATTATTCTATTAACATTTTTGACCAATGAAATGTGGAGGACTACAATCAATGATGCGTATAGAAAAATGTTGTGTTTATATACAGAATAGTGGGGATATGAGCAAACCGGACGAAAACTGTTTTTTTTTTTACTTTTGACTATTTATTTAGTCATGAGTTGTATTATGAAATTTATATATGAACCAGAACTAAATCTAGAAAATAAATTAAATAAATTATATCATATAGTATACCATATAATGATTTTTATACGTAGAATCACCCAAAGTTTTTCATTTAATTTAAATTAATATTTAATTATTTATTTTTACACTTTACATTTTTATTTTAAATATTTAGGTACATACTAATTTATAAGGTGTGAATACGTTTTTTAATTTTTTAATTTTAACACAAATTTATATATTATTATTTTTAATTTTGGCGTCCAATCGTCCTCACGTCTAAATGGCTATGTCCATTCTTTAGATCGACAACTAACAACAACCATGTATGGTAAAAGGCTGTGGTACAATTAGGTAAAGGGTGATGTTGATATATATTTAAATTTTAAATAACTGACCGTTTTCAATAGTCTTACTTCTTATGTAAAATAATTATAAAAGTTTTAAATAAGTTTAATATCGTTAAAATACATTTTTGGTTTCAGCCTCCCTCTAATCTCTAACAACAATTGCGCCTATACCTATATGCAATAAAGAGTGTGACAATTGGTTGGTTGTAGTGAGTGTAGAATTATAATAGAGAAACTATTATCCTCATGTAGGTAATAGCTGGTGCAGCGAAGTATAAACTATTTTGTAAAATACTAATTATCTAGGATACAGCATTAAATAATATAGTGTATCATCAATTATAATTGTAAATTTGTATATAATATTATTTAATACATCTTATTTTAAATGATGACAAGGAGGTGATTAAAAAAAAATGATTGACTCTTTTTCATTCGCCATTCCCGAAGTCCCGAATTTGCGGCGCACGATTCCACACAATATACCTTTTTACCTACCAGATTTCACACATTTTCGTAATGCAAAAGATTTTTTTTATTTAACCCAAATTTAACACGATTCCGCATAAAAATTGTTGCGGCATTACTAGCTATGAGGAAAAATAATTATGACAATAAAATAAAATAAATAATTTAAAATAAATTTTAGAGAAAAATGTTTTCAATTCTGTCGTGAATAATATTCTAGTTTAATTTGAATGCATAAATATTAAATATACTATATACACTACTGTTGAAATAAAAATAAAATAATGCAATAATAGTCAAGTTTTTAAAACATTACTCATGAATTCATGATTAAATTAATAGGTATGGTCACAACTTTGTGATACGCATACCACCCTTGCCACGTCTATCGCGACGGTCTCCGCTTCTATTATATTCTACTAATATTGCTGACCAATGAAATGCGGAGAACAAAGAGCAATGGTTTTGTATTGTATAGAATAGTGGGAATACGCGCAAACCGGACGAAAACAGTTTTTTTGTAATCATAMCTATTTATTTAGTCATGACTCATGATATTACTAACCTCACGACCATCAAGAATGTCCTAGGTAAGTGAAATCTGAAAGCAATTATTTTTACGTTCGGGAAAACAGATAAGACTTCTTTATGTGCAAATATTTCAAAGTCCAAGTGTATTATTTTTATATTTAATATTTTATCGCTGATTTTTGTACAAAGTTATCGAAAATAATTCCATAAATCAATGTAAGTATTTTTAGTTTTGTCTTTAAAAAAAATAAATATACTTGTGGTAAATAAAATCCATTTTCATAACAATCATAACAATATAYTGTGTACAGCTGTAAAAAGTACTTACGTGAATGTAAGTAATTTTATGTAATTTTCGTCACAAAATAATTCTGAACAAAACTGAGTCAAGAAGTTAATACTTTGAATAGTCATAAGGCGAACAAATTTTTTTTAATTATTCATTTTAAATTCTAAACTCACACACAATTTATAAGTCAACAGGTAACAGTTAAACACAATGTGATCGCAATAATATTATATAGGTACGTACGAACGGGTATCGAACAGGTACCTATATATGTGTGATACACTGTAGACTATTCAAATAAAATAGTACTTAAAATATGTTTTATAATGCAATCTGCAACGCATTAGTTTTGTGCGAAATTATGTAATGCGGAATCGTCAATCGTCGTCCCGAATAGCTCATGAGTCATGATGCAGAACTAGAATTAAATGTGAATACCTAATTATATTATGTATAATAGCTACCCCGCTTATTTGTATATCTAGGKATATAATTTGATAAGTATATATTAATCTATATCACGATTAAAATTAAAATAATTGTCAAACAGTGCCTTAAACTAACTGTACAGTCGCTACTTAGCAATAAATGATAAAATCAGTTGTTTTYCAGATTCATAATTGTTCATGTGTAAAACTCAACGGCCTACAAGATTCGTGTAAACATGCTGGTTGCTGCACTAGAATAGGTTGCACGGACATTCCATTTCCAAATTGCTTACCAGCACGTTTGTGGAAAAATGAATACATCTGCAAAAATAAGAAAAAACCCAAGTCTTGTCCAGACGTATCTATCAGTAGTACCAATAAAAACTAAAATATCATAACAACAATTTAATTTGACTTTGAAAATCAAATGCTATAAAATTATTTTCGACTACTTAATATTGCTTAATTATGTTCGTTTACTATTGTCTGTTTTACAATATCAAACCTACGTGATAAGCCTATTTAAACATATCGTTTTATGATAGATTTTTTGCGTTCAATAATTACGTAATAGAAACAAAAGAAATAATTTGATTACAAMATTTATAGTATTATATTACTATCTTATGTTTTTTTTTTCTGAATAACGTTTCTTTATTTCTATGTCACAGAGGCAAACATCGTTTAAGTATCATGAGCTATTTAGTTTTGTATTTTAAAAGTTACAGTGCATAGAAAAACTTCGTTGTGAAATGGTATAAGTACAGGCCATACGTTTTTTATCGTTCTGAACTATCAGGAAAATCATTCAAAATAAATTAATCAAATAGGTAACATGACCAAAAATATTTGAGAGTGGCAAAAAAATAAATGTTGATATATTACATTTTGACGAATTTTCATAATATAATTTTTTATTCACCATAAAATTTTCAAAATTTATATTCAAAAAAAAGCAAAAACATTTTCAACATTTTATCATACGTATAAAAAATGGTCATATAAATGATTAGTAAAATTTACAAGTATCTACCTATCTTATAATCTATAATATTGTTATCCTCTTTTGAAATACAAAAAAGAAACAAAATCAACTGGCATTGCTTAAAAATTCCTGTTGTTCCTTAATTATTTTGCCTATGTATTTTATAAGCTACTTAGTATCATATACTTTTGTGCTCCTCTTCCTCCTCTTACGACCCCCTCGCCCAAAAGTTTCTTAGCAAATATTTAAATTCACTTCACTACCAGAAAAAATGCTATAATCAAAATTGGAAACATTTTTACTACTTTAAAAATGGGTTTCGGGTACAAAATAAATCACTAACATCATTGTAAAATCAATAAATTCATCGTTTCATTTAAAATGTACAGCCTATTTATTTTTAATGTTACATATACATTAATAATAGAGAAAAATATATTTTCATATTAATTTGTAATGTATACACAATTATTGCAACGTATATACGCTATCGCTTTACGTCATCAGTATATTATCTGTATCGAGTGTATCGAATCTTACAATTTTTAAGGAGTTGTTTATAGGCAATACTAACATTTCTTACAAGCGAATAATTATGGAACATTGTGTGGGTGTAGTGAATAAAAATTATTGTTTGTAGGAGGGTATAAGATATGATGTGGTTATAAGAGAAGACACTTATTTTTTCATATTTCTAATTTTCAATTTTTTTTTTTAATTTTCATTCAATCATCTAACATAACATAATCAATATTGATCCAAAGATACGATTTTGACAAAAATATTAGGACATCCTAAAATGCATATTTTAGATCCTATATAGCTAAAAAAAATTGTTTTGGTTTATTTTTCTAAAGAAGCTTTATTTACCATAATAGTAAAAGGTTAGTAAGATCTTAAAACTATAAAAGCTTTTTATGACTTAAATATCTGACTAGATAATTTGACCGAGCACAAATTTGTTGTGTATGTGGTGGCTGCAGAAATATTATTTACATGCACCGACACGTTGGAATATAAAACACAATATTTTGGACCTCAGTATCTATTTGTATATCAAATTTATGCTAATTATGTCATACCATAGCGACGAACATTAAAATAATAACGTAAACCCGTAAACCATTTATTATTTTTTTCGATTTTATATTTTAAGAGCACCCCCTTCTAATTATTTTTATTAGAACGTTTGTTAAAATAATATTATTGTAATTTTGTAAGTCTTTAACAATGATGTGCTTAAGATTCTGAGCAGCACGATGAATGTATTGATTTTACAATGATGTGTATTTTTTTTTTTATTTGTATGTAAGTGTTCAATTTGTGTACCTACATGATAAGTAGTCAAAATAATTATTCGATGTTCAACTTCAGTACCTATCTTTTTCAGTGAACATGTGAAACTAGTTGATACATTCAGGAAATMATGCATTTTGGTATAACTCTAGAACAAATTATCGTAGATACAAGAAATTTTCACTGAATGTTTGTATTAGTATTTTCTTTACATATTTTTATATTTATAAGCATATCRAAATTTTGAKAATTATTAGATTTTTTWAAATTAATATCTATAAAACAATTTTTGCTCGGTCAATAAACTTKAAAATGTAATTCAAAGTTCYTTATAAGTTATTAGTGGAAATTAAAAAAATTTGGACGTAAATCCATATAATTTTTCATTAACGTCTAAATTTYGAATTTCGACGAAATACGCAAGAAATCTAGAAAAATTGCTAATACTATTTTGAGTTAGAAATTCATAAAATATATAATATATTTATATACGAATGCATCGTGTATTTGCGTTRATAATTGTTTTCCCAATAAATGTAACTAACATTATTAAACGATACGCGTTCACCGTTCGGTAATTGGACCACATTTTATCTACCTGCTTCGTATACAAGCACTATACTTGTTTACATTTAACTACTCAGAGATAGGGCCACAAATTAAATCTATATTTTTAAAGTTTACATGGAGATTAGGCCATAAATGTACAGTATAAAAATATACGAATATTTAATAATTATTTTTTCTTATAGTGATAAATATACAATTATTTTTTTTAAATGTTGCCGTATGCAGATTTCAAAAATTTAATATACTAAATGAGGTCAATAAAATTAGTGAAATAATAATAATTAAGAACATTTCTTTTCTATGGAGTAAATGAAAACGATCTGTATAATCCATGTAAAAATTGTTATCCCAATACTTGAAACTACAATTTTTTGTTTAAATAATATGATACCAATTTAATAAAATCAAATCTAATCTTTTTTTCTAATTTTTTTTATTTCATTAAAAATAGAATATTTTCAAACTATAGTTCGTTTCATTGCTTTTATTATTTTTACACTTCTAATTTTAATATACGCTTCATACAATATTAAAAAATCGTTGAAAATAATGGCCCAATCACCTTGTTATTTGTTATAAATGTAAAACTGTTGTGACTCATTACCGTAAACCGTTTTTAAAAAAGGTTAACTGTGGCCCAATTCCTGGACGCCCTAAACAATGAGTCCCGAACGTACCTACATTATTATATTTTACCATCTKTAAATAGATACCTGTATTGTCCTATTTATTTATAGTTAATACATGTATATAGTTAAACCATTCATGTAATAGTGGTGGCTTGATACTATAGTATATTAATGTTTAATTTTTCATGTACCTATGATAAAAWTGCCCTCCCCCCCAACCTTCTTTGAAAATTAAATCTTAATACAAATTTGGAAATTTAAAAAAAACAAYTGCATATTGAAAAAAGTGATTATAAATATTGATTGATAATATATAATAAACAAATTTAATACATTGTTTGATGTATTTACTCATTTACGTTTTTAAATATTATTTATTTAAATTTACATTTTATTTAATAATTGATTCATAGGTAAAAGATTCCCAAAATATAATGAAAGTAAACCACATTTTGAGAGTGTAAACTTAGTAAAACATTTTCTAACCAAAAAGTCCATTGATAAAATAATTTCTGTTGAAAATGAAAAAATAAAAAACTAAGAAAAAGTTTGTTATTGAAAAAATAGTCTAATTTTGAGTCAAATTTTTAATGTTGTTAAATTGTTTGGAAAGTTGACTCTTCCTTTTAGCGGCCATGATGAAAGTTCTGATTCTAGTAACAAAAGTGTTTACAAAGAATTCATTCAGTTTTTGGAAAATAATGATGACAGTATTTTGGTATATCATTCAAAAAATTCATTTCATGATCATCTTCGTACTGAAATTCAAAATGAAATATTATAGGYGAAAGTATTAAAATTTGTATATTAAAAGAAATTATTAAATGTGGTYCGTTTTATATTTTAATGGATGAAACGTCATATTTTATCCCAGAAGGAACAAGTTTCGATTTTTGTACGGTATGTTAAATTTGTAAATCAAAATTATGACATTTGTGAACACATTATTGTTCTGCAAAAAACAATTAAAACTACTGGAGATACTTTAACTGAATTTCTTTTAAACGTACTAAGTAAAAATAATCTTTTAATTGAAAATCTTGTTGGCCAAAGGTATGACGGTGGAAATAATATGAGGGGTGCAACTAAAAGAGTACAAAGTCGAATTAAGGAAATCATTCTAAACGCACTTTAAACTCACTGTTTTAGTCACAATTTAAGCTTAATTTTAGTAAATTCCTTGTSTGGAAGGAGATACACATAGCTAGCAATTTCTTTGGCACAGTGAAATTAATATATTCGTTTATTGAAGATAGTCCTGCTCTAGATTCATATTTTTTATCAAAACAAAAATTATATGCACCAGAATAAAGTACTCTTCACTTTGTTGGACTGTCAAACACAAGATGGAATGCTAGGGCCAAGAGTTTAAAACGGATATGTGATAAACATTTTTTTAGAGCTGTTGTGGCTACCATAGAACATATACAAAACAGTAAACACTRCATCAAATGCATTGCCGGTGCGAGCTTTTGCGGGKYCAGGGGCAGATTTTTTTCATGAGCCATAGACATTTTTTTTTATAAGAGAAAAAATGTTCTTCGCATGTCCTAGTTAGGTTATATAATAACACACAAGCCGAAACTGTAGATGGCAAGTGGGAGTTGTATTTAAAACTTGAAAAACAAAATTATGAGCTTACAAATCATCAAGCGCCAATATACAAGGCGCGAGGCCCCTAAAATGGCGGGGGCCTGGGCAGATGCCCCTTCTGCCCTGCCTTCCACCGGCGCTGATCAGATGGAGTGGTTAGAGGAACTTCAAATTGTTTATTATTAGCAATTAAGCAACCAACATTCATAAGTTCACTTTTTACTTTAACACCTATCTTAGAACTTATTGATGAAGTAAGTATTTCATTACAAAATCCCAAACTTGATTAATACTTCAGTTAGTATGATGAAATCA